CATAAGAGGAAACATTAAAATATCTGTGTAAATTTTCAAACAAAATTAAATTCAGCCTTAGATGAAATTGACTTTTATGAAGAGTTCACCTTTTTAGAAAAAATTGTTCAGGGATCATTAGCTCTAGATGTACTAAATTCTATATTTTGAAATAATGTGTCAGAGATTTTTCCTAACGTGATAGCCTATAAAATATTCTTAACAAATCCACACCTGCTGGACCCCACTCCCAGCATCTTTCCTAGCCATGGACACCTTCCACCTCCTCTCTCCAAAATGCGCACCTGCCCACCTGTCTCCCTGCTCAGGGTGAAGACCTCAGGCTCAGGCCCCTGCTCAGAGGGGCCGTCTCGGGGCCCTGGTCTCCAATGCACCTTGACATCCTGTCCACACTTCACTTGCATTCTGCATGCGCTTGGCTCAGCCCCCTCCGCCCCCCGCTGCTGGGGCGTGCAGCTTTCCATGGCGATCGCGCTGGCCCAGCCCAATGCCTGGCACTTACAGGGCCTGGAAAACACGGTGCCAGCTCAGGACTACTAACTGTAAACTCAGTGTCCTGCCAGTGTGTGCAGGGCAAGAGTCGGGCAGTGGCCTGGAAGGGATGAGACCCAGATCCTAATCTTGGCTGCCATTGGGGTTGGGGAAGAGAGCAGGCGAGGGAACAGTGATGGAGGTGTGTGCCCGTGTACACACACGTGTGTGTGTTGGGGGGCACTGACTTGAAATGTAGAGATTTTCACTTTCTACAAGAATATATTGTGGGGCCTCCCCGGTGGTACAGCGGTTGAGCGCTGGGTTGCGAAGCTGCCCACAGCCTCTGCAGCGCCGGTTCGATCCCCGGCTGCTCCCCGGCCACCGGAGGAGGGTCCCGCATGGCGCGCAGACCTCTCCTGCCGCCCACTGCTCCCCTCAGCAGTGTACTTCGGTCCTTCTGCCTGCTCTGCTCCCCGCTCTGGCTCTGGTGAATTCTCTCACCCTCCCACGCTTCTGACTGTACCCAGTGCTTGTATAAATAAATAAATAAATAAATCTTTACAGTGGAATTTAAAAAAAAAAAATTAAAAAAAAAAAAAGAATATATTGTGTAATTAAAAATGAACGAAGGGGCCCCCCTGGTGGTGCAAGGGGTTAAGCACCGCACTATGAATCAGTCCGCAGCCTCTGCAGCAAGAGTTCGATTCCCGGCCTGCCAAGGAGCAACCCACATGGCGCAGCAGACCTCTCCTGTCTCGCCCGCTGCTCCCCTCAGCAGTGTCTTCGGTCTATCTGCCTGTTCTGCTCCCCGCTCTGTCTCTGGTGAATCCTCTCACCCCCCGCATCTCTGGCCTGCACCCAGCTCTTGTATGCATAAATAAATATTTTAAAAATTAAAAATAAAAATGAACGACACAGTAACAAGATGCCAGGTCCGGGGGAGGGAGGGGCAGGCAACCCCAGGCCCCTCGCAAAGAACAGAGTTTCACGCTCGCGATGCGCGGGTGGTTTGTCTTCACTTTATTACTACGTCACCAGAAGCCACCACCTTCACTTGGCTCACCACAAATGGACGACGTCATGGAGGAGGGGGCCACGGGCCACTGGGTTCACCCTTGAGAACTTAACCAGGCGGCGGGGAGTCCAGAGTGGGGGCCCGGGGTGGGGACCACCATTCACTGCACACACGCACACAGATATATTTGCGGAGCCTTCTGTTATACATCTTATATATAGAAAATAGATATTTATACTATACACAGGCAGTAACGCTGCGGGGGACGGGGTCACCCAGAAGACTGTGGGCGCGGGGAGGGCAGCAGGGGCAGCGCTGGGAGACGCCTGGGCTAGCCCATCCCCCCGAACTCTCGGGAGCGGTGTTCCCCACTTTGTGTTCCTTAGAGACTCAAAGGGATCTTGGGCCAAGATTGGGGGCCCCCTGAGGGGTAACAAGTGGGGGCTCTTGGTTAAATGGGAGAAGCCTGGAACTCCTTCAAGAGTCTTTGAAGATCAATAATCCCCAGGGAAGGGAGCAGGAGGGAGCAGATGCCGGTCCCCGGGGAACCGGCCCCTGGACTGTCACGTCCCCCGCGCGGGCAGGAGCCACAGCGGGCCAGACACAGCCTGTGAAGACACGGGGTGAGTTTCCTCTGGGAGGCAAGACAGGGGTCCCCACCCTCCAGCGCTGGGCTGGACTTGGGCCAGCTGCTGCCCCCTGGCCCCGGGCTCGGCTGCCTCTCCGGTTTGGAGTGGAAGCTGGGGTGAACCCAGTTCCTGGGCCCTTTCTTGTGCTTGGCGGGAGGAGGGACCAGATTCGCCAGGGTCACGGTGCAGGGGGGCCCTTCTCCAAGAAAAGGCTTGGGAGCCAAGGAGAGGGGAAGGTGCAGCAGGGAAGGAAGGGGTAGGTCGGCCTGGGGCCCAGGCTCTGAGCTTGCCCCTCACACCCAGCCAACAGGAGCAGGGTTTTCCCACCAACCTCCCAGTAGGGGGCCAGGAGCGCTGGTCTCCGGACCCTGCCCTGCAATCCCTCTGCCCCTCCCCTGCTCCGCATCCACCTGCCGGTGCTCAGCCTGAGGGTAGGCGCAGGTCTGGACTGGACCCCAGGAAGACTGGGGATGCCAGGCGAGACAATTTGGCACCCCCCACTCCTGGTGGGGGTCCGGGGAACTTTCCTGGTCTGGGCGGCATGGAGGGTCAGTGATTAACACCGGGGCCTGGCCCAGCCCTCTGGCCCAGCGTCACCAGCTGCTGGTTGGTACAAGAGGAGGAACGGGGGCAGCACCCTGGGTGTCCTGGTGCCAGGGTGGCTGAGGTGGGGGTGGGGCGACAGCCTCCTGCGGTGGGCACAGACTCACGACGCCAGGAACACACCCACCTGCTTCCACCAGCCTCTGGTCTGGAACAGGGCCCCGTGTCAGCCCAGGAGACATCCCGGCCCCATCCTGTCCCCACTGGGGCCACCTGGGGAGAGAACCAGACAGAGCCCCTGTCCCAGAGGTGAACCTGGGCTTGCTACTGCTGCCCCGCGGCTCTGGCGGCCTCTCCTGTCACTGCTGCCTTGAGGACGTGCACCCGAGTGCAGACCCCGCCCCGCTAACTCTCTTAAGCTGAGCCCGCTTCCCCTTTGTGAAGTGGGGCCAGCAGAGCTGCTTTCCTGCCTGCCAAGGTCCTTCTCTTCCCCCACTGCTGAGCTTCCTCGTATGCAGGACACCCCGGGGGTCTCGGCGCCTCTGTGGCGCCTGGCCCTGTGATGGGCCCCGTCGCTGTGGGTCAGCAACCCTGGGCAGGAGGCCACTGATGAAGCGATGGGCAAATGCGTGGATATTATCTGCCTCGTAGGGTTCTCGGGGGCACGGGGCACACGGTGGTGGGAATACCCAGCGCAGCGCTGACCCACGTCACCTGGCCCGGCTAGATGGCCGCCGGGCGCCCGGCCTGCCCAGCCTTCAAGGCCTCCCCATCCCGTAAGGCTCAGTGAAGGTCCACCCTATGCCTCCCACAACCCTCTTGGTGCCGTTGGGCACATTTCCTCCCCCTCCCCCCGCCCACCCCGGAGAGCCGGGGTCTCCCTGGCCTGCTGTGCCCAGGGCTCACTGTCCACCCTGGACGCGGCGTCTGTGGCAGCAGCTGGCTGCGTCAGGGGCCTCTCCTCTGCTCTGTCTCCCGAGGGAGACGGGCCCTGTGAGCGAAAGGACCCCCCGTGCTCCTAGCTGTTCCGGCCCCCGAGCCCCCTGGCTGACCCTGGCTGAGGGAAGACATGACACAGTGTCCCAGATCGGTTCACTTCCTGGGAGGTCACAAGGGCAGGGGGCTGGGCACGTGCTGGGGGCAGAGGTCGAGAACCTGAGCCGCAGGCCCGACATCACCGCCCACTCGCTGTGGCCTGGGCCAGCGAGCCCCTCCCGGGCAGGGACAGTGATCAGTTTTTTGGGGGACCATCAGGGGGGTGGCTAGAGCTCCCGGTGGGACACACAGCACTGAGCGGTACACAAGGACAGAGCCAGTGGGGGAGCCTCCCGGGGGGGAGTCCTGGGGACGGGGCAGGTGGGGCACTCTCACTGAGGGGAACTTGGGGGGCTGAACAGGCCCTTGGCTTGCAGCAGAATCAGGGTGTCTCACGGGCTGAGGTCCCTAAGACCTCCCAGAGTGGGGGTAACACTGAGTGGTGGAGCTCCAGGCTTGGGGAAAGAGGAAGGGGGAGGAGGCAATGCGGGGGCGGGGGGGGCCTGGGCTCGGGCCCCATATCCATTGCTAGTGACCCTCGGTCTCTCACCAAGTGACCTTGATCGCTAAGCCTGTTTTCTTAACCGTAAACTGGAGACAGCCCCAATACAGCCCCGATACTCCCGGCAAGGCTGGTGTGTCACCCCTAGGCGACGACAGCCCCCACGCACCCAGCAGCCACATCTCCCACTCGCCCTGTCTCCTTCCCACCGTTCCTACCTCTGGTACCTACAGGCCCCTTCCTGGTCTTGTCTGCCCCGTTCCAGGGACCATTTCTCCTGCATCACCTGTGCCCAGGACAGGCCTGACTCACAGCGGACGCTCAGTGACACAATGGATGAAACTCCCCAGGCCTGCCGCACACACTCGCACCTTGCAGACACCCCGACACCCCAACACCCTCCTGCCCATCCAGTCCCCAGCGACCCTGGACCTCAGCAGAACAGCCTGGAGGCTGGTGAGGTGCTGGGCAGGGCAGCCTGGGAGGGAGCGGGGACCGGTGTGAGGGGAGGGCACAGGGGCGACCAGGGCTGGGGCAGGAACAGGCGGGGGCAGCTTGTCACTGCGGCTCAGTAGCCCTGCGACTGGTAGCCCTGGGGCTCGGCGTCGAAGGCGCTGGCCGGCTGCTGGTAGGTGCCGCCCATGCCGGCGGAGTCTGGCCCGGCGCTGGGCTCCACGTAGGGGGCGTAAGGCATGCTGGAGTCCTGGCTGGGGTCCATGTAGTCCTGGGAGAAGAGGGCCGAGTCGGCGCCAATCTGGTACCGCTGGAAGGCCAGCACGGCCTGGCCCGCCTGGGGACGGGACCGGCAGGGACAAGGACGGGGGGAGGGGATGGTTAGGGGAGAGACAGACAAGAGCGCGGGTTAGTGGTGTTAGTTCACAGGACACGGGTAATAGAGAGTTAAATATCCCCAAAGCACCAGAGATAAACCAAGCTTGACAGAGCCAAGGATGACCGTCCTCCAGGGCACCCCCCAAGGGGCCCAGAATCCTCGTCCAGCCAGAAAGAGTCTCAGAAGTCAGTCGCCCTTTGTCCCTGAACCCAGAGGTCATTCTCAGTCACCAAAAATTTTAGAGTTTCCAATGTAGAGTGTTAAAATGACCCAAAGGGTGACAGCTTCCCACTCAAACTGTATTCTCAGGGGTGTTATGTGAAATGTGGGGGTGGGGAGACGTGTTTTGGCAGGACAGAACACTCGCGGCATTTCCTAGAAGCCGTCTGTCTCTCTCGCAGCTTGCCAGAGCCGTGTGACTTAGTTGTGGCCAATGGTTTACCCCAACTTCTCTGTCCCACCTCTGATCTGTTGCTTGGAATGCAGATGTGAGAGCTGGAACTCCAGCTGCCATGATGGACCATGAGGACCGAACCTCTAACTGCAGGGACGGGACAGGTCTGGGTCATTACACCAGCCCTGGGCAGCCTTCCAACTTGAACTCCATTTAAACTACTGCTGTTTGGGATTTCAGTCACTGGCTGCTAAACCTAATTCTAACAGAAACGCTAATGAAACAAGTTTAGAAAGCTGAGTTACACAGAGTAAACAAGTTTCAGAGCTTTTGACGATCTGTAAGCTGGGGTCCCCAAGCAGGAAGCTACAGTAAGAATAGTCAGCCTGTCTCACCACCAAGGCCCTTCACAGGAGCAACTGAGAAAGACCTGCCGGCAGCACACATGCACGGGTAGGAAAAGTTTTTTCAAGATCGACAATTACAGTTGACCCTGAACAACACAGGGGTTAGGATGCCAACCCTGCACCCACACCCCCGCGGTTGAAAATCCGTATTTAACTTGGGATTCCCCCCAAACTTAACACTCATCCCTTGGTATCTGCAGGACACACACACACCCCTCCCTCCTGCCCCATACCACAGTCTGTGGCTATTCAAGTTGCTTAGTGTGGCCTCTGTATCAGTGGCTTCCACAGCTGTTTGGTCCACCAAGCAACCTCTGAGGGTGGTTGAATTCGTGAATGCAAACCCACGGACAGAGAACATTCCAGGAGGAAGCAGACCCACACATTCAAACCCGAGTTGTTCAGGGCCAACTGTCCATTAGTGTTAAGGATGACGCTGACCACACCAAGCTAGGGAGTGGATGAAATTATTACACATTTACAAACATCTCCAGAGATGTTTCCAGCTCAGGGAAACTGCTGTATGGAGAAATGCATGCATACACCTCTTTGGGGGCTGGAAGGACTGAAGCTTACAGAGGAAGGTGTCTGGGCAGAGTTAGTGCCAGAATCCAGACCCGAACACTGGGGTCCTGCCCTTTCCGAGGCCAGGGCTCTCTTCACCTTCTCCCCTTTGATCAGTTCCCCCAAGAGGCAATTAGTCAACCAAGAACCCAAAAGGGTTGCCCAGTGAGAGGTAGGGAGCCAAGAGTGCTTGGCGTTTTGTTCCAGAAAGTTCCAGAAGTCCAGTGATGAGGCACTGACTTTTGCTTGTGTCACTGAAGAAAGCTCTGAGGGCAGCTCTGTCTGGAAGGGGCTGCGTGAAGTCAAGTGCCAGGGGCCTGGGGAAGGCAGAGCAGCCGGCAGGAGTTGGGCTGAGGTCAGTATTTTCCCCCTATACTTTCCACTGTGTTGTCTGAGGTGCTGGTGCTGAGGGCTCAGATGCAGGAGCCTGGAAAAGCAGCGGGTGAAAAGTTCCCCTGGGGTGCCTCAGCACCCTTGAGTCGTCAGCAAGGCCCCAGGCTCCGTGGAGAGAATGGACGAATGAATGAACAAATGAACTCACATTTATTGAGCATCTCTGTGCAAACCCTGTGCCAGCTTTTGTTTCTCCCACGCAATAGCCTGAGAGGTTGGGCCACTGTCACTCCCCAGCCCAGCCGAGTAGACTGCGGTTCAGAGAGGTACAGGACTTTGCCTAGGGTCACACAGCACCTGAGAGCAGAGCAGCGGGCCGCAGCAGCCAGCCTCCACGGGGCTCACCCACGGCTTGCACCTGGCAGCTGGCACGGAGCCACCTCAGCCCTCCAGCGGCTAGGGTAGTCCATCTGGGGCAGACAGCGGCTGTGTGTCCTCTCCTCCCCAGCCTGTGGCTCCGGGCCCAGGGACCCCATCGATGTATCACTAGGCACAAAAGCACTGCTCAATAAATGTTTACTGGATGAATAGACACACCGAGAGTGAACAAAAGAGGCAGCGCATGAGTGGGTGCTGAGTCTCATCTGGCCTCCCTAGCCAGCCTTCCACTGCCCTGCACGCCCTAGCGTCCTGCCCACTCCAGGTGCCCCCCAGCCTTGCCACTGGGCCCACACAGGGCTCCCTGCCCCTGGAAGTGGGGGGCCTACGGCTGTGCCGAGTCGGGAAACAGAGTGTTGTATTCTTCCTGGAAGGCAAGGTCCTTGAATCTCTGCACGGCCAGGGCTGCAGTCAGGCTCTGCCAGGAGAGAGCAGGGGTGAGGCCAGCACAGAAGAGCTGGGAGAGGGGAGGTGCCCACAGGGCGCCTGTCTGCAGGGGCGCAGGCAACTGTCAGTCAGGCCCTTCAGACCCGCCCCAGGGAGTCCTGGTAGCCAATCAACCACCTCTCCGCCAGAGCCCCACCCCCATCTCTACCCACTCCCAAACTCCTCCCTGTAGGGCTAGGTGGTCCCCACTCTCAGGGCACCTTCTCGGGTCTGAGATCCCAGGCCCCCAGGGTCATCTGTTCTCCAGTCCCAGGACACAGAGCTGGTGTGGCCACGGCGGCCCTGCTGGGGTCTGAACCAAACTTTAATTTCCAATATCATCCGGGGTGGGGGAGCACCCCAGGAGGAAATGGACACCCAGAGACCCTCAAAGAGAGAAGTCGCTCAGGAGGGCAGGGGCGACCTGGAGGCCTGGCTGCCTGAGTGTAGTCTCAGGGTCTCTCCCTTGCAGAACGGGGCCAGGGCTGCCGGAAGGCCCCCGGGGGAGGGGGCTGCTAGCGGGGAGAAGGCCTGGGGCGCACGGAGCAGAGGCGAGCCCAGGAATCTGCAGCAGGGACAAGAGGCAAGAACAAATCGAAACCAGGAGGAAACGGGCCTTGGCGGGCCCTGGGTGCAAAGGGTGTCCCTGGCCGGTCAGGCCCCGAGATAATAATTTTTAGAACGTGAATAAATTGCCAACACATAGTGATCAGATTCCCACACACACTCAGATTTCCGGCTTTTCTGGCAAAACGGAAGCCCCGCCCTCTGGGCGCCCCTTCTCTGCTTGGCCGCAGGGCATGCACAAGTCGCCCACCCCTCCTGCCTCCTCATGTGGGCGTCTGGTCCTGGGGGCGTCTGAGTCTGAGGCGCCTCCACCCCAAATGCAGCCTCCTGACTGATGGGAAGACAGAGGCCGGCAACACCAGCAGTCCTGAGGTGGGGCCCAGGCCCCCCGACGCCCAGGCCTGGGTCCCGTCCCAGCCTCGGCACCGCAAACCCTTCCCTTCTGGACCGGGCCTCAGTTTCCTCGTCTAGAAACCGTCACAGCTAATACCAGCCGCGGGTACCGGGCGGGGTGTGTCCACCGCCACAGGGCAGGCTGTGCCCGAGGCCAGCGCCTGCCATCACTGCCCACTGCCCAGAGGCAAGTCTCCTTCCCAGAGGCGGCCCTGCCGTGAGCGGGCGAGGAGGCAGAACCGAGCCCCTGGTCTGCCGCCAGCCCGGGGGCCTGGGGGGGGGGCAGTGTACTCACCCACGTGAAGATGGAGAAGAAGGAGAAGGTGATGGCGGCCCGGGCGGCGTCTGTCCCTTCGTTCATTGGGTTGTCCTCGGGCTTGGAGACCTGCCACTGGTTGGCCAGGTAGCAGAAGCCCACAAACCAGAGGAAGGCCCAGAAGGCTGGGGTGGCCATGCAGGAGGGGCCGCGCGGGGAGAGGGTGAGGAGGAAGCGGAAACCCAGAGAGACAGGAGTGCAGCTCCCACGTTGGGGGGGAGGTTTGGGGGGAGTGGGGGGGTAGGGCAGAGAGGACAGAGAGGTGGTCAGGGCAGAGCAGGAGACAACAGGGCCGGCAGAGCCAGGGAGGGGCAGTGTGAGGGGAGGGGAGGAGGGAGAGAAGAGAAGTCGGTCAGCCCAGCTGCGTTCCCTGACTTTGCCTAACGCGGGTTCCCGCTAAACCCCTGCCTTGGCCCGAGGTCCTCCACCGTGGCCTGGGGTCTGGGGGAGTAGGAAGCGCTCACCCCCACCCCCCGCCTGGCTGCAGCCTCCTGGAGAACTGGGCTGCCGAGAGGTGAGGACCAGGCTGGCAGCACCACCAGCGGGTCAGGGGCAAGATTTCTAAGGCCCCTGCAGCCTCACAAAGCCCCCGAATTGCGTGGGGTGCCCTTTAGAAGCGAGGTCTGGGGAGTGCACAGTGGGAGCCACGTAGAAGCAAGATCTTCTGTGGGTGCCCAGGGTCTGCCTAGAGAAGGCCAGCGCGCCCAGACCAGGTGCAGGTGGTGAGGAGGGGTGGGGTGAATGGAGGCGAGCTCCTCCCGGAGGCACTGCTGGGGAGCCCTGGGTCCCAGGGAACACAGTTTGGGAACCATTACTTTTATTCTGGTTCCTTCCAGTTGGAGGGGCCCCAAGCCTCACTGCCTGTAGACAGTCAGACTGATTCTGAGTCCCGGGCCTGGAAATGGGCGAGGGGTGGTCCCAGCCAGAGACCTGAGACCAGAGACCAGAGACCTGAGACCCCAGGCCAACGATGCCCAAGCCTCACAGGCCCCCCACCAAGGCAGCCACCAATCAGGCTCAGAACTCTGGGGACAGAGGTCAGGGAAGCTCTGGCAGATGCCCTCTCCGAAGGACCAAGGCAGCAGGTCACTGCAGCGCCACTTTCAGGTCAGGGAGAGGGAGCCCGGCGTTCCCAGAGCACCGGCCGTGGGCAGGGCTTTCGGTCACCGCCTCGTCAGTCCTCGTGGAGGCAGCAAGACGGGGGCCAGAGGCCACGGGAAGGAGACCCCTCTTCCAGCTGCTGCATCGCCTCCTCTCCCGCTAAGGGGCTGTGGGCTGCTGTGGGCTCCCCGGCCCAGCCCTGCTCCCTTCCCCGTTGCCAGCTGTGTGCTCCAAATCTGGCCTTGACCTGCCTGCACCTCTGTGTCCTCATCTGGAACAAGGGAGAGCAGCGTGCCCTGGGGGTGCCCCTGGGCCCGGGACTCACCCGAGACGCCGATGTCGGACAGGACAGCTTTCTTGCGGTCCTTCACGCTGCTGATCTGGGGGAAGTACACGTCCAGGGCCAGGTAGAGCAGGCAGGTGAGGAAGGCCAGCACGCCCACCGCCACGCCATAGCTGCAGGCGCTGGGGTTGCGGTTGTAGATGCAGAACTCCTCGCCCTTCGTATTGCTGTTGAGGTAGCCCTCGTTCACGATGGAGCCGAACACCACGATGGAGAACACCTGGGGGGGGTGCAGGCGTGAGACCCCGGTCCCCCGGCCAGTACTAGCCCCGGCAGAGGGGGGCTACCAACACCTCGTGGCCTTCTGTGAGTCCTCTTCACCCCAACAAACGCCAGCCGGGCTTTCCGGTTAGGACGCCGCCGTAGCTGAGACACCGGCGTATGGGACGATGCCGGGGGCCGCAAAGGTGCAGGTGCTGGCGAGAGTGCCCAGGGCCACACAACTGGCTTCAGCCCCAGCAGGAGCACCCGGTCCTCAGGAACATGCTGCTGGGGCATCTGAGCCTTGTACCCTTGTGCTGCCAGCTCTGCCTCCTGGGCTGCTTTTCTCGCCAGGGCGAGGGGCAGAACTCAGCCTCTGATGTCCGGACACCGCCCAAGCGGGCGCTGCAGGGCTGGGCTCTGAACTCGCCCACATGTCCAGAGCCGTGAGGCTGCTGAGAAAAGGCGCAGGGGCATGGCCATTTGGGGGGACCTTGAAGGAAGCGACGCAGGGGCTGGAGTGGCCACTGCCCCTCTGGCCAGGCAGGCAGGATCTTCCAGCTCCTGGAGCTGCAGCTCCACTTCAAGCCAATGTGGGCTCCTCCTGGGCCTCCTCCCACCCCTCTCCGCTATGGATTAAAATAAAAAGGATTTTTTCCTTTTTGTTTGCATTTGGGGCAGCGGTGGGTGGACAGACCTGGAAGTGGCGCTGACCTGGCTTTTATTTTTTATTTATTTTTTTTTAATAGAGGCATGTTTTTTTATTTATTTGTTTGTTTGTTTGTTTTGTTTATACAAGTACTGGGTATAGTCAGAAGCGCGGGAGGGTGAGAGGATCCACCAGAGCCAGAGCGGGGAGCAGAGCAGGCAGAAGGACCGAAGCACACTGCTGAGGGGAGCAGCGGGCGGCAGGAGAGGTCTGCGCGCCATGTGGGACCCTCCTCTGGTGGCCGGGGAGCAGCCGGGGATTGAACCGGCGCCGCAGAGGCCGCGGGCAGCTTCGCAACCCAGCGCTCAACCGCTGTGCCACCGGGGAGGCCCTGACCTGGCTTTTAGACCCTCTGTTCAGTCACAGCGCTTTCCTCTCCTGCTTCTTCTCCAGCCCGGGCGAGGAAGCCCAGCCTCCCCGACACTCCCTGAAAAGGCAGGAGCTGAGGCTACATGGGATTTGTATTGCCCATTTTCCACTTCTCTTCGTTTTCCAATTTTTCTACAATACGAAACAGCCTTTCGGGGGGCCTCCCTGGTGGCGCAAGGGGTTAAGCGCTATATTATGAAGCAATCCGCAGCCCCTGCACCAAGAGTTCGATCCCCGGCCGCCAGGGAGCAACCCACATGGCACAGCAGACCTCTCCTGCCTCGCCTGCTGCTCCCCTCAGCAGTGTATTTCATCAGTCTGCCTGTTCTGTTCCCCACTCTGTCTCTGGTGAATCCTCTCACCCCCCACACCTCTGTCCTGTACCCCGGTTCTTGTATGCATAAATAGATAAACATTAAAAAAAAAAAAAAAGAAAGAAACAGCCTTTCAAATCAAGTCAGACACATTTTCGTCCTCCCCTGATAGTGGCCCCAGGGCAGGGGTGGAGAGAAGTATGAGAAGCCTGATTGTTTTGTTTATTGTCTTTTTTTCAGATGTCTATACTCGCCATGGATTTTATGATATTCTGGACATACTACTGGAGAGAGAAAATGCATCAAACAAATACCTCTGCATCTGAAGGGAGGATGGACTCACATTTTCCCCGAAGGAGCGTGTGAGCAAGTCTGAGGGCTGCTGGTTCAGGATACCGTGTTTCTCACCCAAGTGACCATGCCTGGATGAAGGGAGAAACCCACTGTGGCAGGTACACGTGGTGGAATATTATTCAGCCATGAAAAGGAGCCAAGTTTAGATATAAAAGGCCAGTATTACATGATTTTCCATAAAAGGCAAATTAGAGACACAAAGCAGATTAGAGGTTCCCAGGAGACAAGGTAGGGATGACTGAGTACAATTTAGGGGTGTGGGGTGATGAAGTTTTGAAATGAGAAGGAGGTGGTGACTACACTAACCGGGAAAGTGTTCAGTGCCTCTGACTGTGCGCTTCACAGTGGTCAACTGTATGTTATGTGCATTTTTATGCGATCAAATAAAAGGACAGTGGGCTGTGTCCTGGGCAGCCCTCGACACAGAAGTGGGTGGTGGCCACCTGTGAGCCACGCATCTGCTCATCCTGATTTGGGGGTATCCATACAACCACAATTGTGCAGCCTCCTGGCTCACACTCTATCCGCAGTCACCCCACGAGGCAGGGAGGGCCATTTGTTCTGACCCTCAACTAGCAGAGTGGGAAAACGAGGCTCAGAAAAAGGTGTTGGCTGCAGAGAACCCAGGTCCCCCAGTTCTTAGTCCTGTGCTCTTTCCCCACCAACCACACTTACTCAGCTTCATGAGGTGGGCCTGGAGAAGGGGTGCTATTCCCAAGACCTGAAGGACCCACAGGAAAGCCTCAGTATGCCGGGATCAGGAGGGGTGATTTGGCACTTTGGGGCCCCGGAGGGAGCAACAGGAAGTCACGATGTCAATGGGACTCCTGGGCTACTGACAGCCCCGTTGGGCCAGGCAGGCACTGGGCTGGGGATGAAGGCAGCTCCGACAGCTGGCTGCCTGGCCGGGCACTGCACAACTCCTGGGACCACCATTCACAGGTCCATGGGCCTATGCAGAGACAGGTGCCAGCACCCACCAGAACATACCAGGCTGAGGTCTGGGCCCAGTCCTGGCATCACAGACCAGAAGGAAAAGCCTGAGTAGACTTCGACTCTGAGGAGTCACACAGACCAGCCTGATTTAAACCCCACATCTGCTCTCATGCTGTGTGGCCTCAAACACGCGTCTTAACCTCTCTGGGCCTCAGATGGATCCTCTGTCAAAACAAAACGAAACAAGAACCTTCCCTGATGGAGAATGACAAGCAAGTCCCCGTGATGGGGGAGCGCGGTGTGAGTGAAGGCCCCTCTCCAGAGGCTCCCAGGAAAGAAAGCCCAGGAGGGCCTTCCTGAGGAGCACTCCCTCACAGATTGGTGTCTGGGGGCTGGAAGAGGGGCTGCCTCGGCCAGATGTGGGAACCAGGTGGTCCCCTTCTAAAACCCAGCCTGCAGGAAGAGGGCAGAAAACAGGCGGGGTGGAGGGCAGGGGAGGGTCTGGGCTTTGGGGACAGCAGCGGGGGACCATGAAGTCAGGCCTGGGGGAGAGAAGCAGCGTGTCCTCAGAGAGGCCAGCAGGAGCGTGCCAGGAGAAGACGCAAGACCACAACACCCGCCGAGACGCGTCCGGGGTGACCGGCTAAGGCCAGGTCTGCAGGGACAGCCAGGGACGCACAGGGCAGCCGAAGAACCGGAAATTAAACCAGAATGAAATTCTACGCCGGCCACAGCAGCAGAGGCTGCAGGAAATCAACGAGCTAGCGGCTCTGCGGAGGCACAGAACCGGAGGAAAAACAGAACCTCTTTCTCTCCTGCTAAAGAAAATGCCAAAATATGGAAAGAAGGTTTTTTCTTTTTGTTGTTGTTAACAGCAGCAAGGTAAATGGGCCAAGCCTCTTTGTTTTCCACATCCTCTTTGGAAACCAATCCTGGTCCTTTTTAAAAGCTGCTCCAGATGGCAGCTCTATATTAAACTCAGAAACAAATGGGAGGGGACTTCAGAATCCCCAACTCAGAGCTGCAGGGGGATCGACAGTCCTCACTTCTCTCCACCCCACAGGCACCCGGAGGGCGGCCTGGGTACCACCACTGGCAATTTGATAATTTTGCACCTGCTGTTCCCACCTCCCAGACACTCTTCCCAGCCTTTTGCCTCTTTCAAGTAGGAGCAAACTCCTCACCCTTCAAAACCCCGCTGGCTGGGGGCAACTCCCATTTACCTTCTGAGACACCCTCCTTCCCAGTCACGCCCCCCGCCCCATCCTGCACACACTCCAGGCTGGGACTCATTTAAGGATCTGTCTCCCCCTGAGCCCACCCACAGCCTCTACAGGTGCCCCACACCCATGAGTACACCTGGTTAGAATCATTTGGGGCCTCCCTGGTGATGCAAGGGGTTGAGCACAGCACTATGAAGCTGTCCGTAGCCACTGCAGCACAAATTCAATCCCCAGCCAGTCAGGGAGCTACCCACATGGCGCAGCAGACCTCTCCTGGCTCCCCACTGTTCCCCTCAGCAGTGTATTTCAGTGAGTCTGCCTGTTCTGTTCCCCGCTCTGTCTCTGGTGAATCCTCTCACACACACACACACTCCCACATATCTGTACTGTACCCCAGTTCTTGTATGCATAAATAAATCTTTAAAAAATACATACAACCTCCCCCCAGAAAACTGGATAAACCCAATCAAGACCTTTAAAAAATGTAAGAATCATCTCATTCAATCCTCACCCAAAACACCTGAAGAAAAAATAAGCCTGAACACACCCTTACAAAACAGACTCACTTGGCCCATTCACAGCCTGAGACTCCAAGGGCCCTGCCCAGGCCTGCCCGCCTCCGGGCCATTCCAGAATGTGAGCCTAACCTTTCCCCTCAGCTGCTTCCCCATGACCAGGTGAATTCCAGATCCCAAGAGCCGCCCTGTCCCAAGCATGTGACCACCCCAGGGCAGGCAGACTGGGCCCACTTCACTTCCCCCTTCCCAACAGAGCTGGGGGCTGTCCTGAGGTGACAGGGCACGGAGGATGGCAGGAATGTCTCCGGGCATGTAATGAGTTTGCCCAGGGATGCTGTAGAGATAAGATCTGGAGCCACCCTCCTGCCCGTCAGCTCTTCATGGCACCACCTCGCCTCCCCTGTACAGGACATCTGTCCCCATGCTGGGTAGCTGGGAGGACTCCTGGGCCCTGCCCCACGCTGCAGGCAGTCAGCTGACTGGCCCACCGGCTCTCCACCTCCAGGCTGCAATCTTGCTGATCTGACCCAGGACGGCCTCCTCTCTGGTCAAGCCACTCGCCAGGGTAGCTGGGGGCGCTCGCCAACCCCTCTCCC